AGGAGATAGAGAGTCTTCTGTGAAAAACAGCAGGTTTTGAGTGGGAATGCATGCTATGAGTTTCTTTCTCACCCACTTTTCGTATCCCTTTCTCTCTGTGAGAATGGCTATCCCTTCCATTTCTGGGTTCTAGGCTGATGTAGATGTTTACCAACCTGGCTCTCTGTTTCCCAACCCCCCTTCTCTCCCAGCCCTTTCCTCAAATGTTGGAATTACATGCCTTATGTTCCATTTGCTTGAACTGGACAGAGTATTACTCTTACTGATAGTCAGTGGCATCCAGTTAATCATTGCAGATATTATGCAGTTTATGTTTGTTTCACAGTCAATAGCTTCTATTTATACTTTTTAGAGACAGTTGAACACTACAGTTGGTGGACCAATGAGTGACTTGGAGTCAGGAAGACCTGAGTTCAGATTTAGCTTCAAAAACTTATACCAGCTGTGTGACCCTGGGCGAGTCCCTGTACTTCTGTCTGTCTCTGTCTACATTTGTCAGTGCAATTAATCTGAATTAAGCAGCATTTTCATGTAGTTTTTGTTTATATCATAGTGGCCATTGTATATATTGATCCATTGATGTTACTGTCTTTATTCTGTATCAGTTCAGTAAGATACTGTATATAAAGTGCTTTTTATTCAAGTGTTACGTGAATTTGAGCTATTATACAATACTTCCCATGGTCCTCTAAATTGGGGACAATATTTCAGGGAAAAGAGGCTTTTTGTCTCCCTCAAGACGTATCATAGAAGATGAGTTTTCTGCCATCCACATTAGGTTGTTTGTTCATTTCTTCTTGAACAGCCATTCATTAAAGCCTTCTTTTCTTTCCCCTTCCCCTCTTTTTTTTCTTTCCTTTGGAATTTCCTCCATCAATGCAGGACCAGCAAGTGTTCTGCAATTGAAATTCTTAAGGAATCTGTTGGGACACTAAGAGCTTCCTGACATCCCTAAGTTTGCAGAGCCAGCCCTGTGCTCCAGAGGCAGTACTTGAACTAGGGTCTCAGATTCTCAGGCTACTCTGCTATTGCACCTTTCATTAAACCCCTGTTATGTGCAGAAAAATTCCTTGGTGTTCTTTGGCTGAAGACCTGTGGTAACAAGGATTGTTGACTAGTCGTATGCTAGAAAGTATTATTTAATTTGTCTCTTGGAAACTGAATGCCCTTTTAGTATAGTGGGGAAAAAGCTTTGTATTAAAATTTTTAAAAATGCCCTGTGCCTAGAGTTCCCCAAAATGTTGCTGCCTGAAAATTTCGTTAGATGATGTTTATCAAATTAAGCAAAAGCAGAAGGTATCATACCTCCAGTTCTAATGAAATTATGTTAAAAGGCACCTCCTATTACACTATGATGTCAACTACAGAGGATCTTGAAATTTTTTTGATGACTCTGACTCCTAATCAAATCAAAACAGAGCCAGCAGCATCTTCTCATTAAAGTGTAACATTCTCTCTCTCTCTCTCTCTCTCTCTTCCTCTCTGTGTGTGTGTGTGTGTGTGTGTGTGTGTGTGTGTTGTGTGTGTGTTTTGAGGGGGGAATGAAAGGGGATGATGTTGTTACATACCAAATAAATTCATGATTTTACCTAGAAAACTCATAACCTATAGTAGTACTACTGACTTGTACTCACTTAAGGTAAGAAGTGACAGTAGCTTCTGATCATAGATCTGAGGTTTTTGTTTTTCATTTTATCTCTATTGTATATGAAAATTTGGTTTACTTAACATTTTATTGGTGGCTTTTTGTTTTTACACCACAATCCTTTCCCTTTATCATCAGCACCATTAAACCTTTTATTGTAACAGAAGCAATTAGGTAAAATCAAAGAACATATAACTGTGCCTAAGAATGTATATTTCTTTCTGTGTTGTAGTCCCCCACCTCTCTATTAGAGGAAGAAAGTGCATTTCCTTGTCTATCCTTTAGGTCTGAGACTCTTCCGGAAAATTTAATGTTTGTTTTTATGTTATGGTGATCAGTCAGTTAAGAGGCATTTATCAATCACTAACTGTGTGCCAGTCTCTATGCTAAGGGCTGGGGATAGAAACAAACGGTCCCTGTCCTCAAGGAGCTTACATTCCTATGGGAGAGGAAAACACGTGAATAACTAGGTTCCTGCAACATTTATACAGAGTGGGTGAGGACAATCTGAGATGAGAAAGCATGATCATAGAGAAGGGGAGACCCAGAAAGGCCTCCTGCTTCAGGTGGTATTTGAGTCTTGAAGGAAGCCAGGGAATTCAGGAAGCAAAGGAAGGGGGAAGAGAGGATTTCAAGAATGAAGGAACAGCCAGTAAAAAGGCATTGAGTTAGGAGATGGTGTATCCTGTGCAAGGAACAACAAACAAGAAAGTCATTGTTGCTAAATTGTTGAATATGTGAAAGAGAATAAAGTATAAGAAGACTTGACTTAATTTTTGCTGCTACAAAGAATTCTGCTGTGAATATTTTGTTATGTATAGGACCTTTCTTTCTGTTCTTGACCTACTTGAGGAATATGCCTAGTAGTGGTATTACTGGTTCAAAAAATATGAACAGTTTAGTTACCCATCTCACATATTTCTAAATTGCATTCTTGAATGGTAAAACAGTCGATTAGTGTGTTTGTCTTTCCACAGCCCATCTAATATTGACTTTTTTTTTTTAAATCATCTTGGCTTAGTTGGATATGAGGTGAAACCTCAGAGTTGTTTTCATTTCCATTTCTCTTAGTGATTGAGAGAAATCATTCATATGATTCTTGCTTATTTCAATTTTTTTCTCCTGAAAATATTCATGTTCTTTACCACTAATTTGTTTGGGAATGGTAGTACATCTTTTAAGATGTTATTATGCATTTTGCACCTAAAATAACAGAGAATTGAGCAAGTGAGAGGCATTGATTTGCTATTATAAAAAATATATTTAGCTTGTTAGAGTTTTGATGAACTTGAATTTTAAAAATCATCAATTCTCACTTTTCCTGAGAAATAGATAGTACAAGTATTGCTACTCCCATTTTAGATATGAAGAAACTAAGGCTCATTTTGTGATTTGCTTGAATGTCACAGAGCTGAGATTTGAAACCAGGTTGTTTTCCATGCAAGTATGGTGCCCTCTCCTCTAAACTTTATTGCTTCTACAAGAGTCTATAGAATCAAAAATATAATGGTGCAAATGACCATTCTTATTCTCTTCTTTCAGAGGCAGTATGGTATAGTGCCAGCGTCAGTAAACTAAGGCCTGACGGCTAGGTCATATTCTACAGGCCGTTTAGTGTATGGCTTCCTAGCTAAGAAAAGTATTTACATTTTAAGTATAATACAACTTTATTTAAAACTCTAAAACTATTCTGAAATGTAAAAGCCTATATTTTGCTGACCCTTGGTATAGTGGATAGAGTAAAGTAATAGTGGATAGAGCAATGGACTTTGCAACAGGAAGACCTGGTTTCAAATCTCAACTATTTCATTTTTCAGTTATATGAACATGGGCAAATAACTTAACCTTTATGACCCTTAGTTTTCCATTTTTGTAAAATGATGATAGAAGTACTTATGATAGAAAATCACTATGAAACTCAAATGAGATTCTGTATGTCAAGAACTTTGAAAACTTCAAAGTACTATATGAATTTCAATTGTCGTATTCCATCATCTTTGTTGCAGCTAGGTCAGAGGGCTGCAAGAGGTTTTCTGAGCTTTTTTGATTACCTAATACTAGAAGGTTACCCGACATTTTTATGTGGAAGTGCCAAACATCCATCTCTCATGCAGGTCTCTTCCTATAAGACAGTTTCCAGGAAGAGAAGAATACTGAAAGAGGATCCTGGAGACCTGAGTTAAAGTCTCAGCTCACCAAGTGTCTAAGGGTATGTCCCTTGGCATATCCCTTGGCCTCAGATATGAAAAGAGAGAATTAGACTAGATCACTAAAATCTATTTCACTTCTAAAATAAAATGATTTTAATTTTTAATCAAATGGATAATGCTTTGAATGAAAAATGACTTCTTGATGGTAGTTACATCTTTTCTCCAAACAATATTTGTGTGATAGCATTTATAATTTACATACTATTTCTGTACATGTCATGCATTATTTCTCTCTCTTATGTGTATATGTGCGTGTGAGTATGTGTGTGTATATGTATGTATTATACACACACATGTACATATACATATCTATACACACAGATCTTGGCTTTGTTTAGTTATTTTATTTCCACCTTTGAAAATACTTTGATACTTTTCCTTTTTTTTTAAAGGCAGGAATGTTCCATGTAAGCATTGTGAATTAAATGGAAACAGTGGTTTGTTGGGGCTGTGTCAAATTGGTTTCCTTTCAACATTTTCCTTTTTCTCTGTTTTTATCCAAGGCTTTCAAATTTAGTCAACCATATAGCTAATGCTTGTCAAGGAAGACCATGCCAGTCTTTTCATATATTATAACTTAAGTTCTCCCGCTCCCCAAATATTGATTAAACAGCTATGAGTAGAGGATTCTGAACTCAAAGTAGGAGTGGGAAAATAATGTTGAAATTAAAACTCGACATCAACTTTTAATGCATGTTATAAAGTTTAGTTGGGTTTGTGAGGTGGAAGAAGAAAGGGTGAGAAACACCTCATAGTTAATGAAGGGAAGTCATCTCTAAATTGAGCTTTTCCTCTGCCATCTACACATCTGGTGACGGTTCACAAATAGCCTTAAATTACATAATTAAAATTAGGAAGGAATCAGGTAGTGCTTTTGTGCTTTTTTTCAAAGTGAATCATCGCCCCCCTGTGGTAGAATAGTGAATTCTTTTTCCTTAAAAAAGGATTCCGTAGAAGTCTTAGTGCTTGGTTATTTGCTTCCCAACTACCAAAGGGACTAAAGTATTTCAAAAGATAGCCTATCCTGTTTATGACCACCTGTTCCCACCTATGACAAACTTTCTTTAGGATGATAAAAGTTTGTTTTCATTTCTACTGTTATGATTTTCCTAGAAGTTGCCTTAAGCATATGAAGAGTCACTGACCTTTATTATCTGGATGTTCTTAGGTAAATCATTTAGCCTTCTTGGTCCTCGGTGTCTGTACCTACAAAATGAGGGGGTTGGATTGGATGGCTTGTAAGGTTCCATCCAGCTCTGCATTAATAATCTTGTAAAATAAAATTATTTTTCCAGTACTTTTCATATTTTTAAAATTAATTATTTTTAGTTTTCAACATTCACTTCCACAAGATTTTGAGCTCCAAATTTTCTTCCTATCTTGTCCCTCCCCTCACTCCAAGATGTAGTGCATTCTGAGTACCCCTTCCCCTAATCTGCTCTCCCTTCTATCTTCCCCCCTTCTCTTATCCCTGTCCTCTTCTATTTTCCTGTAGGGCAGGATAGATTTCTATACCCCATTGCCTGTACATCTTATTTCCAAGTTGGATGTGAAAACAATTTTTAACATTTATTTTTAAAACTTTGAGTTCCAAATTTTCTCCCTCCCTCCCCACCCATGCTCATTGAGAAGGCAAGCAACTCAATAAAGGTTATATATGTGTAGTCATGCAAAACACTTCCATAATAGTCATGTTGTGAACTATATTTCCCTTCATCCTATCCCGGCCCTCATTTATTTTATTCTCTTTTGACCCTGTCCCTCCTCATAAGTGTTTGCTTCTGATTACCCCCTTTCCCAATCTGACCTCCCCTTTGTCATCCCCTCTGCTCTCTTATCCCCTTCCTCCCTATTTTCCTGTAGTATAAGATAGATTTCCATATCCAACTGAGTGTGTATGTTATTTCCCCCTTAAGCCAAATCCAAGGAGAATGAGATTCACTCATTCCCTCTCAAATTCCCTCACTTCCCCTCCATTGTAAAAGCCTTTTCTTGTCTGTTTTATATGAGATAATTTATCCCATTCTACCTTTCCCTTTCACCTTCAGTATAATCCTCTCTCACCCCTTAATTTTATTCTCCAGATATTACCCCTTCATCTTCAACTCACCCTGTGCCCTCTATCTATCCATCCATCCACCTATCTGTCTGTCTGTCTATAATTTTTTCCCTCCAACTACCCTAATACTGACAAAGGTCTCATGAGGTACAAATATCATCTTTCCATGCAATAATATAAATAGTTCAAACTTAATAAGTCCCTTATGATTTCCTTTTCCTGTTTACCTCTTCATGCTTCTCTTGAGTCTTATATTTGAAAGTCAAATTTTCTATTCAGCTCTGGTCTTTTCATCAAGAATGCTTGAAAGTCCTCTGTTTCACTGAACGTCCATTTTTACCCTGAAGGATTATGCTCAGTTTTGCTAGGTAGGTGATTCTTGCCTGTAATCCTATCTCCTTTGACCTCCAGAATATTATGTCCCAACCCCTCTGATCCCTTAGTATAGAAGCTGCTAAATCCTGTGTTATCCTGATTGTGTTTCCGCAGTACTTGAATTGTTTCTTTCTGGCTGCTTGCAATATCTTCTTCTTGATCTGGGAACTCTGGAATTTGGCTACAATATTCCTAGTAGTTTTCCTTCGGGGATCTCTTTCAGGAAGTGATCAGGGGATTCTTTACATTTCTATTTTACCCTCTGGTTCTAGAATATCAGGGCAATTTTCCTTGATAATTTCTTGAAAGATGACGTCTAGGCTCTTTTTCTGATCATGGTTTTCAGATAATACAATAATTTTTAAATTATCTCTTCTGAATCTATTTTCCAGGTCAGTTGTTTTTCCAGTGAGAGATTTCACATTGTCTTCAATTTTTTTCATTTTTTGGGGGGGGTGTTTTGTTTTACAATGTCTTGATTTCTCATAAAGTCACTGGCTTCCAATTGATTCCATGCTAATTTTTTCAGTGAGCTTTTGGACTTCCTTTACCATTTGGCCAATTTTTAAGGCCATTTTAAGGCATTAAATGCTTTTTTAAGGCATTCTTCTCCTCACTGGCTTTTTGGACCTCTTTTGCCATTTGGGTTAGGCTATTTTTTAAGGTGTTATTTTCTTCAGTATTTTTGGTTCTCTTTTAGCAAGCTGTTGACTTGTTTTTCATGATTTTCTTGCATCACTCTCATTTCTCTTCCCAGTTTTTCCTCTTCTTCTCTTACTTGCTTCTCAAAATCCTTTTTGAGCACTTCCATGGCCTGGGACCAATTCATATTTTTCTTGGAGGCTTTGGATGTAGGAGCTTTGACTTTGTTGTCTTCTTCTAGTTGTATGTTTTGATCTTCTTTGTCACCAAAAAATGATTCTATGGTCTGACCTTTTTTTGCGCAGTTTACTCTTGATCCCAGCAAATTACTTGTGTTATAAACTTTTTGTTAAGGTAAGGTTCTGCTTCCAGTATGGAGGGTGTAGTGTCCCAAGCTTCAGAGGTTTTGTGCAGCTGTTTTCAGAGATACTTCTAGGGACCTGTAAATTTTCAGTTCTTCCAAGGTGGTACAATCAAGGGTGAGGTGTTTACTCCTTTCCTGGCCTGTACTCTGGTCTATGAGTGCCCGCAAGCACTCCTTTTTGTCTTTGAACTGTGATAAGCCTTGCCTCCCCATTACCATTACAAGCTCCACCATGACAGCACTCCTTGCCACCTAGAACTGTGACCTAGACTCAAGCAAGGGCAAAGCAAGAGATTCCTGCCTCAACACCAGCAAAGAGATCCCTGCAATCCCTCTCTTATCAGCCACTCAATTCCCCCTCAGTCTGTGGGCCTAGAGCTTTGGAAGCAGCTGCCACCCCAGGGCTGTGCAGGGACTGGGGCTGGGACTGAGCTTCTCTCTCATGGCAGTAACACACTTTTCCTACCGACCTTCTGAGTTGTATTTGGCATTTGTGGGTTGAGAAGTCTGGAAACCACCACAGGTGCCTATGATTCAGTCCCTTGAGGCCTGCCCCAGGTTCACTGAGGCCTGGTGTTTGTCTGTGGACCCACACTGAACCATACTCCTTTCCCAGCCTGGCACAATAGACTTTTCCAATCAACTGTCCAAGTTGTCTTGGGCTGGAAATGTGGTTCACTCTGTTTTTTTTTTTTTTTTGTGGGTTCTGCTGCTCTAGAATTTGTTTAGAGCCAATTTTTACAGATATTTAGAGGGGTTTGGGGGAGAGCTCCAGCAAGTCACTGCTTTTGCTCCACCATCTTGGCCCTGCCCCACCTGTAGTATTTTTCCAAGGTCAAACTCTAAAGTAAAAATCACTCTGAGGATTGGTCCACGTGTTACTATAACAGCAAAGGTGTTTTATTGAACATTGCTTGGAGTAAGTGGAAAGAATCTTTCTATAGTGAAGATGTCTGTTTTGATATAATTGAGTGAAGATTGGCTCTAAAAGATATGATAATGAGAAGCCTGACCCACATCTCTAATACCATGTGTTGAAAATACCTTGAAATATAAGATTGAAGATTGGATTATCTCTCAAAAAGGATGAAGTATTTCTTATAGCTGAATATTCCTCTATTTTCACAAAAGAATATTTTTAAAAAATGAAACCATTTAAAAATAAGCTAGAAAAAAGGCAACAGATGACATTCTCAGCAAAAAATTCTATGTGTAATACACTGGATGACCTCTGATAAATTTCTCAGAAGGTATTACTATTTTGAACATATCTCTTATCCACCAACTTACAAGCACTAACTCAACTATTGTAATAGTCTTCCTAATTGCTTCCTCACCTATCTATCATCCCCATAGTCACCAAATTGATGTTCCATGGGTGGGGAACCTGTGGCCTCAAGCCACAGGTAGCCTTCTAGGTCCTTGGGGGCAGCCTTTTGACTGAGTCCAAGTTTGACAGAACAAATCCTTTTATTAAGGGGATTTGGTCTCTGAAGTTTGGATTCAGTCAAATGGCCGCACTTGAAGAATTAGAGGACCACATGTGGCCTCGAGCACGCAGGTTCCCCACTCCTGTTCTAGACCATAGTACCTCCATACTTAAGAAAATTAAGTAGCTTCCTATTGCCCCTTGGATAAAATACAAACTCTTTTGAGACTTTCAAGATTTTCATAGTTGAACTCCAACCTAACTTTTCCGTCAGATTTCCTTTTTTCCCCTCTCACTCACTTTAAATTCTAGTCAAACTGGCCTTCTTGCTGTTTCCAGTGCATGGAATTCTAGCTTCTACATTAATACCTTTTCTATAGGCAGCTACCTCTTTTGTCTGTAATGTTCTTTTTTGGATTCCAGAACTCTTTCCAAGACTCAGCTTTGGTACCATCTTGTACCTGAGATTTTTCCTGATCCTTTCATTTGTTAGTGCTCCCCCACATTTCTTCCCCTCCCCCAGTGATTTTGTATTTAAATTATTTCTCTCTATCTACCTGTCTCTTTTGTACTGACTTCTCTGTGTCCTGTTTCCCTTTAATAAGCTCCTTGACAGCAATGAGTTTGATTTTTATTTTTGTTTCCCCAGTACCCAGGGCAATACCTGGTACATAGATACTTAGACAGGTATGTGATAAATTCATATTGATATCAAACAGTTTCTAACTTTCTTTGAAGGTGGAACAAACATAAGTTGCCATTGTCTCCTTTTGGCATGGTCTTTTTGACCCTGTACATCTTAAGTCATTTGTGTGATTTGTTTGACATATTTTTTTTTTCCCCTGAGGAGTTGAAAAACAGCAGAAAAATGGCTACTGAGGATTATTAGACAGTTATCTTAAAATATAACTGCAAAGGCAATTAGTCAGTCCAGTACCAGAATCAAGAATAGTAGGATTACAAGCTTGCCATTATAGAATGCTTTACAATCTACAAAACACTTTATCAACCATAGAATCAAATTCAATAAGAATTTGTCAGGTGCCTTATATTTGCCAGGGACTGGGAATACAAAGATGAAAATGACAGTGTCGTCAAGAAGTTGAATTCTATTAGAAGTAACATGTATAACAATTGATATGTTATATGTGTATATATACATATATACATATGTGTATATGCACATATGTAATTGTATATGTACATGTTTGGTACATAAAAATGTGTACAAAGTATATACAGAGTAGTCTTATGGGACACTATTAATTAGAAGGAATCAGAATAGGCTTCTTGTCAGAGCTGAGCTTTGTAGAGAGTTTGGGATTCTCTGAGGAAGAATATATATTGACAGCTGTAGAAGACCTTTTCAATGATGCAAAATCTAATTTAGTCTTCAAAATAATTCTGTGAGGTAGGTATTACAGACAACATTTTGCAGGTGGGTAAACTGAGGCTGGGTGCCGGGAGTGCCTGCGTCCCCGGCTGTGGTCTGATGCCAGCAGAGTGTGAAGAGAGAAAGAAACACGGGCCAGGTGAGAGCAGTGAAGAACAAACTCTGTTGATTGATCTGAGGGCTCAGGCTTATATAGTACTGGATCAAGCAATGGTAACATTATTATTCATGAAAAGTACAAATCTAATTAAGTGATTTCCTTCCTTCCTTGTACCTTGTCTGTTACATTCTTTCCTGCATCCTGTCCTGTACCCCACCCGTTTCCTCCCTTCTTGCATCCTGTTCTCAAGAAACGGAACAGGGGGGTGGTGAGCCGACATCCTGAGTTTCACAGCTGTCAGGCTTAGTACAATCTGCAGGTAAGACCTGGGCTGGCCTAAGTCCTCCAACTCCCCAAAGCCAGCCCTCTACAGCTGGGGAGGTTAAGCTACTTTGCTAGGTCACTCAGATCATAAAGTAGAAGCACCAAGACTTGGACTCAAGTGTTTTGATGCCAAATTCATTGTTGTCTCTGCTACCCTGCAGATTCCTCTGGAAAACCTAATGCCACTTAAATTAGGGTTATATAAAACATAATCCCAGTATTATGATTATTATTCATTATTACCATTACCAAATCAGTGTTGTTCTAGCCTCTATGGAAAGACTTTGAGGAGGGGAAGAACCCATACCCTCCCTAGGCAGTGCATTCCATATCTCCATGGTTCTGATTGTTAGGATATTTTTTCTGACATCAATCCTCAACTCACCTCTTGCATGATCTGCCCATTGCTTCTTGTTCTGCTATCTTGAAACAAACAGAATAAATCTAAACCATCTTCCACTTGGTAGCTGTTCAGTTACTCAAACACCAACTGTCTTGTCCCCAGCCTTCCCTTCAAGCAAAATATCATTAATTCCTTTCGGTCTCATGATATGGAATTAAGGCCTCTTACAATTCTGATTTTCTTTCTCTGTATAGTTTCCAGGTTATCAATGTTGTTCTGGAATTGTGACACTGAGAACTGAGCACAGTTCTCCAGATGGAGTCTGACCAATGGCAAGAACAGAACTCTCACATATTCCTGAGAACTCTACCTTTGTTAATGTAGCCCAAGATCATGTTAGCTGTACTGGTGGCCACATCACATCGCTAACTCATTGAGCTCTTGCCCTGTTAATTTGAAGAAAAATTCCTATCTAGTGATACCTTCCTCTTGCTATTCTTATAATGTTGATTTCTTGAACCCAAGTGTAAAGCTTTTACATTTTTCCCTATTGAATTTCATGTTATTAGATTTGGCTGGGGGTAATTAGGTGACTCAGTGGAGAGAGTGCTGAGCCCAAAGTCAGGAGGACCTGAGTTCAAATGTGTCCTCACACACCTACTCACCGTATGGTCCTGGGCAAGTCATGTGATCCTGTTTTCCCCAGTTTCTTCATCTGTAAAATGAGCTGGAGAAGGAAATGGCAAACCACTCCAGTATTTTTGACAAGAAAACCTGAAATGGGGTCAGACAAGTCAGACACAATTGAAAATATCTGACCAACAACAAGATTCAGCTGAATGCTCTAGCCTCTCAAGACCTTTTTGGATCCCAATTCTGTCATCTCGTATAATAGCTATCCCTGAAAATTTTGTATATATTCAACCTTTATGCGTAAGACATTTATGCCTATATATAAGACGCTGACATAAATGTCAAAAATCACAGAGACAAGCAGAGGTAAGTAGTCCTCTGGCGATATACTATTAGGTTGATACAGAACCATTTCTACTCCTTGGTTTGGTCATTCAACATGTTGAGTCTAATTGTGTCATTCATCTTAGTCCAGAAAGATATGTTAAATCACTAAAACTTTCTCAAAAATCTAGGTAAATGTTATACCATTTCTAGATCCCTAGTTTAGAAACTGAAAACAAAACAAACAAAAAAAACCCAGAAAAGGTAAAGTTAGTTTGACATGACCTATAATTGATGAAGTCATACTGGCTTGTTGTAGTCACTGCTTCTTTTTCTAGAAATTCACTAACCTCTTTAAAAATCCATTCTAGAATTTCCCTAGGAATCTAACTCAAATTCACAATGACCTATAGTTTGTAGACCCTGTTCTCTTCCCTTAAAAAAAAATCCAAATACCATATATCCTTCTATAATCCTATAATACCTCTCCAGTTTTCTACCATCTTTCACATGTAACCGAAGGAGATGGGGGGCTCAGCAATCATATATGCCATTTTTTCAATACCCAAGGTTCCAATTTATCTGATCTAGTATCTTGAATTCATCAAAGGCAACTTGGTGATCTTTATTTTCTTATTCATCTCCCTGTTAAACTCCCTATTAATTGTTTTGGTTCTGTCATTTCCAGTGCAATGGTTATTATCTTTACCTGAAAATGAAAAAAAAGTTATATAAGAATTGAGCAGTTCTGCCTTATTTCTGTTATAATGATTCAACCCTTCCACTCCAGCAAAGGTCTATTTCCTTCTTTTGATGAGGATTTACTTTCTTTCCTTCCCATCTCCCCATACCTTATTATAAAAATTAAAACCTTTGTAACAGATATGCATTGTCAATCAAATCAAATTCCCACATTGATCATTCAAAAATGTGAGTCTCCAATATTGATAAACTTAACCCTTCCCAGCAATACAAGGATCTAAGACATCTCCAGAGGCCTCATGATGGAAAATGCTATCCATATCTGAACAAAGAACTATGAAAGTTGAATTGCCTTTTTTTTCTTTTCTGTTGAATTTTGTTTCCTCTTTCTGATGGTTCCTTCTATTGGTTTTAATTTTTACTTACAACACCACTAATGTGAAAATGTGTTTTTAATAGTAATGTAAATGTATAGCCTATATCAGATTGTGTGCCATCTTGGGGAGGGTGGTAGGGAGGAAGGAGGAGAAAAATTTTAAACTCAAAAGCATGTGGAAGTGATTACTGATAAATCAAAATAAATTAATAAAATTTTTAAAAGAAGAAAAATATATTTTAAAAAATGTGAGTCTCATTCTGCATCTTGAATCTATCGCCCGTTTGTTAGGAAGTAAGTAAATAGCATTCTTCATCTTTGGTCCTCTGAAATCATGGTTGGTCCTTACATTGCTCAGTGTTCTTGAGTCTTTCAAAATTGTGTTTATAATTTTCTTATTATGTAAATCATTCTCCTGGCTCTTCTCATTTTTACTCTGCATCAGTTAATGCAAGTCTTCCCAGGTTTTTTTTTCCCCCCCAAAAAAATCTCTTTCATCATTTCTTACAGGACTATAATATTCCTTTATGGTCACGTGCCGTAATTTTTTGGATAGGTATTTCCCCATAGTTTCCAGTTGTTTGCCATTCTAAAAAGAGCTGCTACAAATATTTTTGTACATATGGTTCCTTTTCCTCTCTCCTTGATCTTTTTAGGGGGGTATAGGCTTAGTAGTTCCTCTCCCTTCGTTAGCTTTAAGGCAAAAAAAAAAAAAAGAAAAATTTCTTGTCGTGAGTGTTCCTCACCAGGTTCAGTTTAGAACACCTGACACTATTCCAATGAGACCATACCATACTCTAATATGTATCCTATGTTGCCTTCCCATTGCTTCCCTCTTTTGTATATTTCCTTTTATTTTTTAATCTGTTTGTTGTTGAATAATGTGTGCATTCATATTGATCTTTTCAGTCAATTCCTGTTTTTCTCCTTCACTGGAATGTTGTGTATCAGATGTTGATTAGCTTTCTTCTCCTCTTTCACAAACTTTAGTTGAGAATAGTTACTTCCCCCACCTAAATGTCTCCATTATTTCCATTCCAGCCACCAGTATCTATCTTTTCATGAGAATAAGATCCAGTATTTACTATCCCCTTATTGTTTCACATACCTTTTGAAAGATGAAATTGTCATTTAAGAATATCAAGAAGACATTAACTTTTGGGAATTATCAATTTCAATTATAAATGCTTGTGAATGGGGAAAAAAAAGATAAGATTCACCCCCCCCGGGCCCCCCCCCACAAACAACTTCCATACTTTTATACCAGGCTTGTAGTCTCTTTTCTGAGCTCCTTATCTATTTCCTCATTCTTTCTACCTAGTCTATATTATATTTAGATGATGAAATCACTTCTGTTTCTCCCTGCATTGATTGGTCTTCAACTGTGTTATTTTTAAAACATAGAGTTTTCTCTTTTTTAGAAGAACTTCATCTTTTTTTCTTTTCGGGGGGAGCAATTGGGGTTAAGTGACTTGCCCAGGGTCACACAACTAGTAAGTGTCAAGTGTTTGGTCTGAGATCACATTTGAACTCGGGTCCTCTTGACTCCAGGGCTGGTGCTCTATCCACTGTGCCACCTAGCTGCCACAGAAGTAACTCATCTTGTTTGTTTTAGCTCCAGTTGTTCCATTGCCTTTTTCCTTCTGTGTGACATTTTCCCATTCTCCATCCTCTTGATAAGCCTCAAGTTTTTTTCTTATCACTTTAGCTTTAGCTTCTTAACTGTTTCACTATTTTGTATTATTTTCCTTTGTTCTACTTACCTTGTCAATTTCTATTTCCTTGAATCCTTTTCCCTAGGCCCTTCTCCCTTAATTGTCTTGATTCTGTTCCTTCTACTTAGACTCCTTTTACAGAATTTGAAGATTTGACAGGTGGTAAGGATACAAAGAAATGAAAAGTCATTACTCTCAAGGAACTTACATTCTAGTGGAGGGAAACATATACACAGATAATAAATTGCTCATTCTCTCCTTCTCTCCCTATCTTTTCTCCCTCTCTCTCTCTCCCCCTCCTCTCCTCCTCTCTCCCTCTTCCCTCCTTTCTCTCTCCCTCCTTCTCCTTTCTCCCTCCCTCCTGCCTCCTCTCTCTCTCTCTCTCTCTCTCTCTCTCTCTCTCTCTCTCTCTCTCTCTCTCTCTCTCTCTCTCTCTCTCTCTCTCTCTCTCTCTGTCTCTCTCTCTCACCCCCCCTCCTCTCAGACACTAATGAGCAGAAGAAACATGAAAATTTTCTTGTAGGAAATGCTCCTTGAACTAAATCTATAAACAACTTAGGAATTCCAGGAAGTAGAGGTAAGGAGACATTGTTCCAAGGAGGTGGGGAAAGCCTGTGCAACAAGGCATATGGCCAGGAGATGGGATGTCATGTATGGGTAACCCAAGTAAGCTAGTTTGTCTGAAATATTGTGTGTGGGGGGTGCTGGTTATAACATGGAATCAGCCAGAAAAAAATGTGTTAGAACCAGAAGGATTGTAAATGTGAAACAGAGAAAAGTTCGTATTTTATCCTTTGGATAATATGGAGAAACTAAGGCTCTTTATCCAGGGAAGAGTGATATGGCCAAATCTGGGCTTTAGAAATACCAATGTGGCAACTGAGTTTATATATTTATAAAGACTAAGTTTATATATTATTATGTGCCAGAGAAATCCTAAACTTGAAAATATTTGATATGAGGTGTTTATATTATGGCACTCAGGCAGCATGTTGTTCAGAGATATTTATCTAGTTGACAGAGAAGCAAGAAAACAAATTAAGACTACCATCTTTTTCTTGGCAAAAAACAGTATGGGCCAATGAGCCATCAAACTAGACTTTTACTGCTATCCATACCAGGTGATTCTGAAGCATTCAAGATAAGTAGAAACACTTGAAGTCATTTTCATGGTGTCTGGTGAGTCTGAGCACAACAGATTTTATGTAGACTACATGGAATCAACTTTTATATTACTACTCCCATGTATCTTTAGTGTATCATAAAGGGAAAACTCAAATATTTGTTTTGCTTATTTTGTTAAAGTTTAGTTTTTCCCTCTTGAATTTCAACTATATAGAAATCATTTTTACAATATTGAAGATTTTTACTTTTTAAATTTTATTGATTTGATTTTAGTTTTCAACATTCACTTCTATAAGATTTTGAGTTCTAAATTTTCTCCCCTTTCCTCCACTACTCCCTTCCCAAGACGATGTGCAATCTGATATAGCCTATACATGTACAATCATATTAACATAT